GACAAGCGATTGATCGCTCCCTAGAACCAACACGCGGTCACGAATACCAACACGCGCTTACGCTCTAATTAGTGAGTAATTAATTAGATTTCGGCACAGAAGATGTAATCATTTATGACCTGATAACGATACTAATGGCCGAACGTTAGTTGATAGCGTGATGAACGCAATGAATAGGTAATAGAAGAGGGTGAAGGCAATTCGTTGATTGGTCAGCGCGCACGCGTTAGCACGATGAGCATGCGGGAGCAGGATACAGTCTATGGCAATTAAACCAATGTGATGTGAAATTAGGAATCTGCTGCTCATTATCTACTGCTCATTAACGACTATTGAATAATGAGTGCTCAGTAATGACTGCCCTATCAGCACTAGCATACACTAGCGTGACCCAAGCTTACCCGAACACTGACCTCCACCTTACCTATGGAGTGAAGCTAGTTGATATACGTTACCCAACGTTACATAAACTCTAACCTTACCTTACCTATAGTATGAAGCTAGTTGATATACGTTACCCAACGTTACATAAACTCTAACATTACCTTACCTATAGAGTGAAGCTAGTTGAGACACATTACTACTACGTATAGCTAATGTACCTGACCTTATCCTAGCTACAAAGCTCGGCTTTATATCAGTAAATATACGTGACCCTAAGAGGCACGATCCCCTTTCACGTATAGCGTAAAGCCAATGATATCTGGACAGTAACCCCATCTGAGATGACTGCCCCTCGCCTACCTGGGTGGATGCCACGCATGTATATAGACTGCTGTCTCACTCCAGCATCCATATGTCTGTCACACACAAACAACGGATTGTCCCCCACATTCACAATTGGCTGTCCCACCCTCAATACATGACTTCACGGGGCTAACCAATTTAGTCGGGTCAACCAATCTAACCACACACGCGCAAATGTTACACACATAGGCCTATATGCACACACGTATATATATATATATATATATATATATATATATATATATATAATAAGGTATTATGCTAAAGTCGTGCGAATGGGAAATTTCGTGTATGACTGCGCACGTGATTACGGCGTGTAAGTTCGTCCGCGTGCCTAACGACCGCGTCTAATGGCGGCCGATTGCCATATCAACGACGACGCGCGCGGTGTTGCTTTGCATGATTTGAGCAGGTAGGCGAAATAATTTTCCATCCTTTTATCTCCCATCAGATCGGCTAGCAGAGCCGTGTCGAATAATTCATCGTTATTCATGTAAAAATTGTTGAGCGTTTTGTCTAAACTCCTGTTTGGCACTCATGCGCCTCTTTGCGCGTACTTTTGCGTGCGTGTTTATGTGTGTGTGTGTGTGTGTGTGTGTGTGTGTGTGTGTGTGTGTGTGTGTGTGTGTGTGTGTGTGTGTGTGTGCGTGAGTGTGTTTATGTGTGTACGGCAGCAGCGACATGTAAGAGATGTGATTCCCGGCATACCAGCATTTACAACATGTACGTTAAACGCACTTCTTTGATGTATAATTTTAGAATAGGCGGCGCAAACAGAACTGCGTATCGCCGCCGCCTTCGCCGTACTTGGCTCCGTGCCAGATGACGAATGCGGAGAACCCGCCAAGCGGTTGCCGCCGGTTAC